GGAAAAAAAAAAAAAAAAAAAAAAAAAAAGTGATGAACCCAGAAACATATGTAATTGTTAACATCATATAATGCTCATATATATGGTAGCCATTAGCCGAATGTGGCTGTTTAATTACTGGTAACACAGAAAGTTCTACTCAGTGCTGCCTTAACATAAAGAAATTTATTGTAATAGTAGGTTATGAATGAAACCATTATTTCTGTGAGAAACTCCACCTGTGCTAAAAATGAATATACTTAAGCACTGTAGGTATAATATCAGGATTTGGGGCAGGAGGGGCTGGATGAGGGAAACATGACTGTCCACGAATATCTATCCTATACTTGGGTGGGGGCAGAGGTAGCCAAAGAGAAATAAAATGGAGAGGGATTCTCTTTTCATACTAGCAGGGAATATTTCAGTAGCCCACTCTACAGATGAGCAGAAACTAAAGAGAGTAATGTGTCCAACATTTTAAAACTAGAATGCAAATCAAGTCTGTGTGTATTCCAGGATTCTTTTCACTACCTCATGCTATTGGTAAATCTGTCACAAAAGGAAAGCAGATAGAACCAGCAGCCATAGCGCTTCAAAACATGCTAGTTTTCCTCCAAAGTAATGCTCAAAGCAGTGTCAATGTAGATGGATACATATTTATTAATTTTTAAATCTTGAGACAACTGTACTTTCACATTCAGCTATAAGAAACAGAGATATCTTGTGTGCCATTAAATATTTTTTAATCTACTAAATTCTAGACCCTTCCTGGTTGTGGAGCCCCAGAGACAAGATTGCCCTTACTCTTAAGGATGGTAAGGGAGCCAGGCACAGTGGCACATGCCTGTAAGTTCACCACTTTGGGAGACTGAGTAGGAAGATCGAAATTTCGAGTCCCACCTGGGTAATTAGCAAGACCTGCTCTCAAAAGAAAAAACATAACAAGGGCTGGAAATATAGCTCAGTGTGAAGGTCTTGAGTTCAATCCCTAATGCTAGGGTGGAGGAAGCTAATGGGAAACACAAAAATACATCATTAGAGTTGGCTAAAGCAAAAGTGTAATGCTATATTCACCAATCATACAGCAAATCACAATAAAGTATTGTAATGACATTCTAGCCAAGCACCCATAAAAGAGACACCTAACTTCTCTCTGCCACAGTTTTCTCATCCATAAAGTGGGAGTAACCAACAGCACCTGTATTATAGGGTTACTGTAAGCATTAACCCTGTACAGTGTCTAAGTGTCTCAGTTACTATTAATATCGTATGATCATCAGCATTCTCTTACCCATTTTGAAATTATTCCTGTACAACTTTCACAGAGGAAAGTGTTTAGTTGCTCTTTGTTAAAATGAATGTCTCACACTGTGGTTTAGTGCTACATACTACCTTATAAGAACACTGAGAAGGGACGGCCAACCCACCTCGCAGAGACAGGAAAATCTCAATAAAGGATCACTCAAAGGAAGATGTCATCTGAACAGACGTTCAAAGACTGATTCAGGGAGAAGAAAAGAGAATTTAAGGCAAATGAAATATTAAACAAAGACTTTGAGTCTTGGTAATCTGATGGCAGAATGGGGCTGCTCAAGATCATCCAGACTTGTCACCACTGCAGGTCTTCTTTGGGGTGTATTCATAGGTTCTTCAATGTGCTCTCCACTCAGTGAATCCACCCATTCCATTGTTGGACAGGCCTCTTATTACAAAGTGTTTACATATACAGATCCATTCAGAGCAAAATCCCAGCAACATGTGTACACCGGCATATGTATTTGGGGTGTGAGTCACTGCAGTGTGATGTATCAAGGCCGCAGTACTCAGTCTACTGAGTTGTGCTCAGATTGTGGTGTTGTGCTCAGTTTGGAGGTATCTTATAAATATTACTGAAATTGTATAGGTTTTAAGTGCAATGACCCTGAGAGCGTTCAAAGTTTCAATAAGAAGTAGCATATCACTTCAGGGAAAAGAGAAGAAATAAAAACATATAAAAATGGTGATACTTTTATGCTAATTGTCCCAAAGAGAAAAAAAATACATGTATGCAACACAGGAAAAACTATGACAACAATGCTCAGCTCAATACAAAAAAAAAAAGTGGAAAACAGGAAAATGGTGAGATCCATATCTGGAGAGACAGTGTCAATGTTGCATGCTGACAGGGGAGCACGAGAGATACATTTAGGCGCTAAAAGGCTACTCCTGGTAAGAAGCTTTCTCATAAGCCTGTGACTTTGAGGCCTATTGCAAGATAAACATCAGTGAACGTTATACAGAGGGTGTGGACCCCGTCATTACAGTTATCGGTCACGGTAACTTAGATGCATAATTAAAACTGGATTACATGATACATCTGCTAACAGAGAGATCACTACGATCAGGGAGAAGAAAGGCAGTGTATTCAATGAATCTACTGGAGTATCAGGATACACCTGGAAAGCAGAGTTAGGTCCCTACTCCACTCTTCACATCAAATTCTTTTCCTGCTGAATCTTTTTTTTTTTTTTTTTAGTTTGAAAAATAAAACTTGGAGAAGCATTTTAAGAATGAAAATGGTAAGACCTTGCTAGTTTGACACAGCATATTCATAATCTATATGGCTAGAAGTGACAACATTAAACTGTTACATAGCACAATCTCGCCCAATGATAAGCTTGGAAAAAATATTTCTAATCTGTACCATAGACGAAGAATCTGTTTGCATGATTTAGTAAGCTCTACTATAAAAGTGATAGGAAAAATACAGGTGAATTAAAAATATGAACAAAATGCACGAACATCAGTCCCCAGAAAATGAATGCAACAACTCTAAAAAGGGTTCACAATTCTTAAGAAAACCACAACTTAAAATGAGGCTACATACCATTTCCAGCTATAAAATGGGTAGTGTTGAAAAGGTAAAAATACATTCCTATTCACTAACGGAGACTTGTAAATTAGTAAAACTTTTATGGAGGGAAATTTGACACCAATCAAAAATTCCAAACATGTGGTCTTTGACCTAGTAATTCTTTAACACTTTATCTTTCATACACCTTGAACATGTTTATAGTAATGTATGTATAAAGTTATTCATTGCCCCATTGTTTGTTTGTTTTGTTTTGTTTGTTTTGGTATCGGGGGTCTAACTCCGAACTTTGTGCTTGCAAGGCAGGCAGCAGAACCTCTGAGCTAAATCCCCGGCCCAATTGCTCCATTGCTTATAAGAGCAAAGATAGAGAACAACCTGATTGTCTATCACAATCTATCTTCAAAATGAGGCAAATATTTATGTTCAGATATAAAAATGCCTCTGAGACAGAGTACACTGAAGAAAAGCTAAGGACGTAGCACACTGCGATCTGCGAATAAGAGCTAGTCAGGGGTGACGGATGGAGAGGGGTAGAGGTTTGCTTGTGGACATTTAAAATATTCCTGGAAGCTTAGCCAAAGAGCAGTCTTCCTTGGAAACACACCTGATGGCTAGGCTAGGGGTGGGAGGGAGAGAAACTTTCTACTGTAATGCGTCTTTGGCTCTTCGAATGTTTGGGCACAAACATACATTAGCTATTCAAAAAAATCAAAGTCTATTCCCTGCTCAAAACATTCTTTGCATTCTCTCTGCTACGCTTGCTTATTTCACCTGCTCTTCTGCTGTCCTTGCACAGTTATATCACCGATAAAACCATGGGCTCCTGCAGGGCTCCCTCTACATCTCTATCACATTGGCATTTCCAGCATTGGTATAGCATTCTCAATCATTAAAAAGACATTTTTCAAAGCAATGTCTTTAAGGATGATGAAAATCCTTTTCATTGAAGGAAGTCTGGCCATAAACAAGGCCTTCAGAGCTTCTCTTGACCAATCCTGGGATTCCACCTTAAAACATGTCTCTTAAGAGAAAGAAAGGAGAGACAGAAGCTCAAACTGACTTAACGGACTGGACTCCCAGAGCAATGGTGGTGAGGAGAATCCAGGTGGGAAAACGTTGACTATGTAAGTGGACAGGAAGAAGATGGTTTAAGATCTTGTAGGATTTCCGGGCATGGTGGCGCACTCCTGTAATCCCAGCACTAGGGAGGCTGAGGCAGGAAGATCGCTGTGAGTTGAAGACCAGCCTGGACTACGTAGTGAGTTCTAGGGCAGTCTCAACTATATAGTGACAACTTGTCTCAAAAAAAAAAAAAAAAAAAAAAAAGACCTTGTAGGATTTAAGCAAAAAGTTACACTTTACCACTGGCCTTGCAAGCACAAGGTCCCAAGTTCAATCCCCTGTACCAAAAAAATAAATAAATAAAAGTTACATTCGGAGGAAAATTAACCTGTCATGAAGTCTGCATTCTGCTGCTGTTTTTCATCCCTATTTAATGGGGGGGGGTTACCTAGGACAGGGGCTGCAATCTCAGTCGTGAAGCCTCAAGACACAGGCAAATGCTGTAACTAATTCAGTTGATTTTATCTCAGCACACGTCCCCTCAGCGCTTCCTAGGGGCAAGGTTGACATTTTTACTAGCAATAATCTCTGCCTCCTCCTGATTATGTAGAGATTTAAGACCACATAATCATCCTCTGTCAGACAGAGGGGTAGGTCAGAGAGAACAGGCTAAGAGGCCTCAAATCCCTCCTAACAGTTCTTCCTCCCTGTCAGCGAGATTAGTCAGCAGTGCTCTGCTGGTGTGTTCAGACCAAGAGCCTGGGCTGCGCTTGCCCAGGGGGATGGGGACTTGGAAGGCCTGGGACCTTGGGAAGGCTGATGCAGGCCGATGTTTCTGAGACAGCACAAGGCTTGCAACCGGTCCTCGCCCAGGGCCTGGGAGCGGACTAGGGACCCTGCAACAGCCAGCAGGGTCAAGCAAGAAGTGCACTTCCTGCAGTCATGAGGAAGCAAAGCAAGGCGAGGAGACGGTCCTGGAGCTGCCGGCGCTGCAGCTTTCCCGAGGGTGAGGGCCAGCCGCCCACAGGGAGCGGCCATCACCCAAACAGCCTCTGCTCCGCGGGAGCTCTGTCTGGCTCTCAGGGCAGCATCACACCGTGGATGGAGGGCAGCTATAACTACGACATCGAGGAGGACGAAGAGGAGGAGGAGGAAGAAGACGAGGAAGAGGAGTGGGAGGCTGACCAGAAGCCAGAGGAGGTCCCCATGACACAGCCCGAGGGCGGCACCCACACCCCGGCCCAGGTGTCCGTGCTGAACGTGAACGTGGGTGGCCACAGCTACCGACTGGACTACTGCGAGCTGGCCAGCTACCCCAAGACGCGCCTGGGCCGCCTGGCCACCTCCCCCAGCCGCAGCCACCAGCTGGGCCTGTGCGACGACTACGAGCCCCAGACCGACGAGTACTTCTTCGACCGCGACCCGGCCGTGTTCCAGCTCATCTACAACTTCTACACGTCGGGGGTGCTGCTGGTGCGCGACC